ATTCCTTTAATGGAAGTCTTGCATGACAAAACTGAACTGTACCCAAGTGTCCATCAGTAGACGAATGGATAAGAAAGCTGTGGTACATATACACAATGAAGTAGTATGCAGTGGTAAGAAAGAAAGATCTCTTATCCTTTGAGACGACATGGAGGGACCTGGAAAGTATCCTGAGTGAAATAAGCCAAGCAGAAAAAGACAAATACCATATGATCTCACTTATATACGGAATATAATGAACATAACAGTCTGAGGAATACGGTAGACCCAGAAACATGGAAGTAGGGCACAGTCTGACATCCCTCAGAAGAGGGGGTGGGGAGGTGGGAAGAGATAAACCACAGAACTTATATGCATGTATGTATGACCAATGGACATGGACAACTAAGCCGGGGACGGGGCGGGGGTGGGGTGGGGAGGGGTGTACCAATGGGGTAAAAAAGGTGAAATATCTGTAACAAAAAAATAAATAAATAAATAAAATAATAATGAAGAGTACATATATTGTTAAAAAAAAAAAAAAAAAAAAAAAACTGAACTGTAGCCCTATCTCCCTAGTCCCCACCACACATTCTTTTTTTTTTTATTTTATCCTCACCTGAGGACATTTTTCCATTTTTTGTTCAGGTAGAGTGAGAGGGGGAGAGAGGAAGAGAGAGAGAAACATCGATGTGAAAGGGACACATCGAGTGGCTGCCACCCGCACGACCAACCAGGGCCGGGGACAAACTGCAACCGAGGTACATGCCCTTAGCGGGAACCGAACCCGGGTCTCTCCGGACCGCAGGCCGACGCTCTAACCGCTGAGCCAAACTGGCCAGGCCACCATACATTCTTAAAGCAGAAGGAAAGATAATACATAATCCTCATTGTTTATACACCTTTTAATCCATGTATGTTATGCAGGATCATTATGTGTCAAGAACGTTCACAACTCACAATGTAAGCGCTCTTTAGCAGTGTTAGAGGACGTTCTTAAGGTACCTTGCAGGGGTAAGCAGTATCGAGAATTATGTAGGAGGGGAAAAGACACTGGAGCACAGTTAATACAGGAAATCCTCCCTCCATAGAAAAAGTCTGGTTTTCCATTAAAGGGGAATGGATATAGAATCTGAACAATTATCACTGCCAGTGTGAGCCATTACAAAATTATAGAAAGCAAGTTGTTTTCATTAGTTGGTTACTGATTGCTTTAAAATCAGTAGATCATGAGAGGAAAAAGAATATTTTAAAAAAATAGCAAAGAATATTCAGGAAAATAACTTGGTGTAAATAAAAAAAAGTGAAATCAATAGAATTGGGTCCTTATTTTTATTCTATCTCTGTACCTGTATACAAACTATTGAACTGAAAGAGACTTTGGACTTCATGTAATCTAAACCTGCCTTTAAGAAGGAAAAAAAACTATCCAAGAAAGTCTTAGTAAAACCATAGTCAGAGAATAAGCAATGCACATTCTCTAAGTTCTACTCTAACTGAGTTTATGACCTGTAGTATATGTCTACATATACAAATTAAATGGTGGCAAAGTAACTTGTAAAGAAAGCTAACTTGTAAAGGAGTCTTTAGGGTTTTCTGTATACAATATCATGTCATTTGCATCCAATTTGGATGCTTTTTATTTTCCCTTCTTGTCTGATACCTGTGGCTATGACTTACAGTACTATGTCGTAAGAGTGGTAAAAGTGGACATCCCTTTCTTGTTCCTGTTCTTAAATGAAAATGCTTTTAGTGTTTGCCTATTGAGTATGATGTTGGCTGTAGGATTGTCATATACGACCTTTGTTATGTTGAAATATGATCCCTCTATTCCCACATTGCTGAGCATTTTTATCAGAAATGGGTGCTAGATTTTGTCAAAGGCTTTGCAAAATAAGCCAGTCAGAGAAAGACAAGCACCACATGATCTCACTTATTTATGGAATATAATGAACAAAATAAGCTGACGATCAAAATAAATCCAGAGACATGGAAGTAGGGAACAGATTGACAAACTTCAGGGGAAGGGGGGATGGGAGATGGGGTGGGAAGAGATAAACCAAAGAACTTATCCTCATATATGCACAACCAATAGACACAGATAATAATAAGGGGAAAGCAAGAGGGGGATGGGAGTGGGGAGGAGGGAGTCAGTGGGGAGAAAAGGGAGAAGATCTGTAAAACTCTCAACAATAAAGATAAAAAATAATAATAAATAAAATAAAATTGCCATAGAATCTCAAAAAAAAAAAAGGATGAGTATAGACAGTTAGCTATATTATTTATTTACTTATTTCTCTTTTTATGTTTTTATTGATTTTTTAGAGAGAGAGAAAGGGAGAGAGATATAGAAACATCAACGTGAGTGAAACATGGATCGCCTGCCTTCTGCACACTCCCTATTGGGCAGGTGCCCTGATCAGGGATTGAAAGCTGACCTCTCTGTCCATGGGATGACGTGCAATTTCCTGAGCCACACCAGCCAGGCTAGGTCACCTATATTTTAAAAATCAAACATGTTGAAGTTAGTTGACAGTTGTTCAGCAGTAGAAAAACAATGTGCAGCATTCTGCGACGTCCCTCAGAGCTGCTGACCAGGGACAATTTCCAGAGATGTGTTGTTTCCCACCATCCTCCTCATACTGTTCCTCTTGGGAGGAGACTCCAAGGAACAATGAAATGACCAAAAGTCTCATTGTGTGGATCGGGTTGAAAGAGTGAGTGACATTAATATGTGCCTGAAACACACAAGATTGGTCTGGTTTTCTCAACCTCTTTATGTTTACACTTGCTGCACTCGTATGAAAGATAGACTGGCTGCTAGACCACCAAAGGATCCTAGTGACTTAGTCTATGATGTCTGTTCTTTTATTCATCATAGAGTAGTACTTTATATTAAGATTTCAGGCCTCCAAGGGACCCTTTTCAAATGTTGGGAACCTCTGGAAAGCCAGGTTCTTCATCCACGTCTGGGTGTAATTGATGCCATAGATTAGTTTATCAGATTTAATTTGCCAGGTTTCAAATCACTGTGGTATGCAAGTTATGTAGGGGAGAAAATCAGGAATGTTCTGCAGAGGTTGGAGGAGGGTGAAGCCCCTAGGAAAGAGGTTATAGGTTGGGTTCCTCTAGAAGTAAACTTGAAGGCAAATATTAGTCTGAAAGAGGTTTATTAGGGAGTGCCTTGAGGGTCAACATCTGTAACAGAAGGGTTTGGGCAGAGAGAGACGACTTCACCTGACCCCACCAGCAACTCTGGGAATAAGATTATCTAACAGTAGATGGTCCTTTTCTGAGGCAGGGGGTGCTCAGCTCATGTGACTTAGTCATTGCGCACAGGCTCCCCTAGGGAAGGGCTGTGACATTGACAAAACAAGAGCATGTCCCAAGAGAATTGAGAGATTAGGGCTGTCATCTAACTCCCCACAGCCAGGGGAAAAGGAAGGAATAAATCCTTCCGTTTTAAAGGGGGGATCTGAGCAGTGCATTAGAGCCTGCCTTGCAAGAGACAAACCTGAGGAGCATTGTCTCCCATGCTATGCTCACCGTAGCCTAAGCCTGGTAGTAGAATAGAGGCAGAGAGAGCCCAGTGGTTAGTAGAATGTCTCTGAGTGCCTGGGAGGCCAAGATTCTGCCTTGGTTAACCTTACACCCCTCCAGTGCTCCGGGCATGAAAGAATTGGTGGCATCAGGCCTGAATTCAAATCCTACTCCACCCTTTGAATAAATTAATTGAATTCTAGCATCAGTTTATTGTGAGATATATTATCTAGGTATGTCCTCTCTCATGCTTATTTCCATGTAAACATCTGGCCACAGTGGTTAATATTAATTTAACATTAACATATTTTTCTCTGGTTTTATATTTGTTCCCAGTTTGGTCTTAATTTGCTTTGTGTATTCCTAGGTTGAACCATAAGACATTGCCAATAATTAAACCATTTTTATTGGCAATTTCAATGCAAAAGTGTCCATTTCATGTGGTCTTATCCAATATATGTCTCACCAACTAAGCTGTAAATTTCTTGAGGGAAAGAGCTGTGTTTTCACAATCCCACACTTGGTTATGTGTTCTGTTTATATGGTGCATTACTTATACTCCCTCCCATAGAGGGTTATCCCACTGAGAGTCACCCTGTGAAATAGTGTCTTTTCAGTATTACAGATGAGGAAACTGAAGCTCACAGAAAATAAGTGACTTGCCAAGGTCACACAATCATGTGATTGAACTGGGGGGCCTGAGCTTATATCCCCAGACACCAAGTCCAGTACTTGCTCCCCCAAAAGATACAGTCTTCCTTACATTGATTTAGAAATGACTAACAAACACATTATCTCATTTGACTTGAATAATGGTTTGGTAAGAGTTCCAGGGCTAATACTATTATTTATACACATTTGATAAATGGAGACCGTAGTTCATTCATTTAATCATTATTGCCTTTTTTATTACATGCAGGCTTTTATGCCAAACTCTGGAGAGCAATAAATGAATAGGTCCTACTCTCTTCAATAAGAAAACTCACTATCTAGGGCAGAAGAAGGACACCTCATTGACTACTTATTACAGCGTGGTGCATGCTAAATAGATGTCAATGCAATGTGGCCGGTGCTGACGCTGAGGTATATATAAAGCTGTATAAAAGACAAGAGGGAATATTAATTTTCCCTAGGAGTATTAGGAAGGTCTACAAGAAGAGATGATGCTTGCACTGTGCATTGTAAATATTTCCTCAAGGGAACATGAAGGGAAACTCTTCAGAGAAAGGATGAAAGACACACTGGTATGATACTACATAGTGTTCCAAGAAAAGGCACAAATATTGAATAACTTGCCCACCATCTCATGGCTGGTCAGCCCCAGGTGGGCATTGGAACCCAGCCTGTGGCTGTTCAGTTAATGCTCTCCTTTGGCAGTGCCTTATGCAAAGGCTATAGTGTTTAATAAATGACACATGCTATGATATAACATGTCTTAGTGCTCCCCTAATGCAGACTTTCCCCTTTCTGCTATTTTTCAGTGTTCCAAGATGTGCATGTTATGATATTTGTTGGATTTGGCTTCCTCATGACCTTCCTGAAGAAATATGGCTTCAGTAGTGTGGGCATCAACCTGTTGATTGCTGCTCTGGGCCTCCAGTGGGGCACTCTTGTTCAGGGGTTCCTGCACAGCCGCGGAGAGAAAATTCACGTCGGAATCAAAAAGTGAGCATCCCTTACTTGTAAACCACTGTGTTTTCAGAGCAACCGTTTCTCTGTTTCGGCTCTTGTCATCTTGAACTAGATGAAAAGCTGTCTGCCTCAGGCAGTAGAAGATTGTTGGGATCCAAGTACACAAATCTATGCCTTGCTCTACTGAGCCGGATTATGTGTGAATGTCTATATCCTCTCTGGTCTGACGTTAATGGTATCAGAAATCCACTTGCACAAAATTATTATTCCTTCCGTCTCAGCTACAGGGAGCACAAATAGAACATTAGTCATTTTTCTGATTATTTTTGAAATGCACACACTCTAGAAAATAAGTCATTTATCAGATCAACAAAAATAAAGTCCTAAATGAGATAAAGAACAGGTAGGTTAAAATAAAGAACATGTTGGAGTAACTAAAGAGTGTATAGTGAATGGAAAAGAAGGGGGAGGGGACAAAAGCGGGCCTGTGACAGGTGACTGGTGGGGACTGGCAGGGAGAAGGGCCTTGCACTCTGGGTAAGCCGATGCTATGGTTTATTATAACCCTCAGTTTTGTTTGGGGTTTGCATTATTCTTTAATGTATTCTTTCTTTTCCCCTTAGCATGATAAATGCAGACTTCAGTACAGCCACAGTTCTCATTTCTTTTGGAGCTGTCCTGGGAAAAATAAGTCCATGCCAAATGCTGATTATGACGATCATAGAAATTGCTGTCTTTGCTGCTAATGAACATCTGGTTACTGAGGTATTTATGGTAAGTGTTGGAGGATTTATACTTACCTAACTTTGGACATCAGTTGTGGTCACAACACATAATAGATATCCACTCTGCACAGGGACAAACTCTGGCAAGAGTGATACCACAGTAAATCATAATAATGGTCCTCATTTATTTGAGTGCCACTGTAAACCGGGAGTTTTAAAAACAATATCTAATTTCATCATCCCAACCACGCTGTAAAGGAGGTGTTAGTGTTGTTTATATTTATACCGAGAAAAATCCCTCGTGATCACAGATGATAAATAACTTGATGGAATCTGGACTCAAACCCAGATTTTTCTAACTCCAAAACTCTTTTTATTACATTATATTTCCTATCAATGATCAACTCTGATTACTATTTCAACTACCAGGTGAATAGTCTTATCTAAGGTCTAGGTCAAATTTCTTCTCCATGAACATCTCACTGAGTACTCCAAGAATTATAAATAGAATATTTCTGGGCAGTCTCCAATAGTTTGTGTATGCTTCCATTGAACACTTAATCCAACAGCAATTATTTTGACAACTTTCTAAGTGTCATGTGTTGGCGATTCAGTACCAAACAAAATAGTTTAGGTCCCTGTCATTATAGAATTTGCAACCTAGTTGGGGAGACAGACATCAAACAATGGTACATTCCCCCACCCACTCACAGGCATGTGCACGTGTGTGCATATGTGCACATGCTCACACACACAAATATTACTCTAAATTACAATGCATAGTATGAAAAATAAGTAGAGCGGGTTATGAGAGAAGGTAGCTGGAAGAACTAATTCAGATTGTGGAAACGAGATAAAACTTTCTGAGGAAATGACAGTTAGGCTGGACCTGAAAGGTACATGAGAGTTTATTTAGTAAGGAAATCTTAAGTCAATTAATAAAGTATTATTTTCCTACTTTTATAAGGACAGAGCCATGACTCGGGATTGGTACTTTGAACTTTCCTTCTAGAGACCAGAAATGCAGAAAATTGAATCAAATCCATACAATATCCTAAAAAGGGACCTAAAATGCATTTCTTCAATGAATCCTGGACTTCAGGCTGGTTTTCATGTTATCATAGAGCAGAGTGAAAAACCATGAGACAGACCCAGGCTCTTTCAGCTTCACATCTTTAAGTTGCAATTAATTGAGCTGTATTTCAAATGTCAATTAAATGCAAGAACCATCTTTGTTTTGTATCAAGGGGGAGCATAATATCTCATGGAGACTCTCCCTAACCTGGAGATGTAACCTAAAATGTACTAAGTACCCACTACGGAGCATAGCACTTTACAAACGTAGTCTCATCTATGCTTACTGGGTAATAGTTCCCCATTTTACAGAAACTGAGATTCAGAGAAGTATAGTTATTTATCGCCACAAGGAAGTACCTGGCCTAGGATTAAAAATCAATTCTGGCCCAGCCAGAAAGGCTCAGTGGATTGAGCGTCATCGCATGGACTGAGAGGTCCCTGATGGATTCTGGTCAGGGCACATGCCCAGGTCGCAGGCTTGATCTCCAGTAGGGGGCGTGCAGGAGGCAGTTTTTACCTGTCTCTCCTTCCCTCTCTCTCTAAAAGTATCAATAAAAACATATTTTTAAAAAATCAGTTCTGTGTGGCTCCAAAGCCTGTTTTTTTGTTTTTTTTTTTTTTATATATTTAACTATCTTGTTTTATACCCCTTTCTCTGACACATTCTTTCTGTCTCTCGATTTACTTTTTTTATTGCTAACTAACAAAGCAACCCTTTCACTGGCTTTCCTCCTGTAGCGAGACTCAGTGTCACCTTTTTTTACACAAATGTTTTGCACCTGCAGGCCTCTGACATTGGAGCATCCATGACGATTCATGCCTTTGGGGCCTACTTTGGCTTGGCTGTAGCAGGCGTCTTATATCGACCAGGCCTGAGAAGGGGACATGATAACAATGAGTCTATGTACCACTCGGATTTGTTTGCAATGATTGGTGAGTAGGAATGAACTTGCTCCATTCTTGTCAATTTGTTTAGGTAGAGGGAAGGTTAACTCCAAACATAGCTATGAAGATCTTCAAGAAGAAACAGCCTTGCCCTGGCTGCTTTGTCTCAGTGGTTAGAGCGTCGGCCCATGGACCAAAGAGTCCCGGGTTCAATTCCAACCAAGGATACGTGCCTTGGTTGTGGTTCATCCCGGCCCTGGTTGGGGTCATGTGGGAAGCAACCAGTCGATGTGTCTTTCTCACATTGACACATCAATGTCTGTCTGTCTGTCTGTCTCTCTCTCTCTCTCTCTCTCCCTTCCTCCCTCCCTCTTGCTCTATCTGAAGATAAATGGAAAAATGTCCCCAGGTGAGGATTTAAACAAAAAAATAAAGAAACATCCTCCGAATACTACATTTGCTTATGATGGCCTTTCCCTTAACTCGTAGATAACCCTAAAAGTAGAGACATTGTCAGCACCCAAGGCAAACTGACTCCCCTACACTGTCTTTCATATTAAGAACTAATATTCCTTTCTGTGGTTTACCGCAGGGACTCTTTTCTTATGGATATTTTGGCCCAGCTTTAATTCAGCCCTCGCTGAAGCTGGAGACAAGCAGCACTGGGCCATAGTGAACACGTACTTCTCTCTTGCCGCCTGTGTGCTCACAGCCTATGCGTTCTCCAGCCTGGTTGGCCACCGAGGCAAGCTCGATATGGTAAGTGCCATGTCAACCCTGGGTGTGTCGGGGGGTGCTTTTTTCTTCTTTTCCCTCTTAGTGCTTCTGGCTGATTTAAGAATTAAATTAACATGAGACAGATTAACAGGAGAAAGTAACTACATTTAATAATGCATGTACATACGGGGATCCATAAGAATACGGGACCTATCCAGCTAGTGTGGCTCAGCAGTTGAGTGTCGACCCATGCACCAAGAGGTTTGATTCCTGGTCAGGGCACATCTCCAGGTTGGGCCTGATCCTCAGTGGGAGGCATGTAGGAGGCGGCCAATTGATGTTTTCTCTCATCTATGTTTCTACCTTCCTCTCCCTCTCCCTTCCTCTCTCTCTAAAATTCAATAAAGAAAAAAACTAAAAAGAATCGGGACCTGAGAATAAATGGGACAGTTACATGTCATCTCGAACTAAGAAAAAAAAAGGGGGGGTAGTGGTTTGGATTTCAAAGGGGAAGAAAGCAATCCACGTGGTGATGGAGAACCACATGCTTGGTAAACAAATGTTTGTTGGGTCATCTTTAACACTAGGACACAGAAACAACTGATCAAAAGGGTCTTGCTAGGTTTCTACACACCTAGTTCATATTAAAATATATTTACCTATGATCATAGTTTCCTTCCTGGAGCAGATTCTCCCTCTAAATTCTTTAGGTAGCTAGTGGGAAGGTTACAGGGTCTTCCTGAGCCTTTTGTGTCATAAAATAAGCCAACTTAAAATAATCAATATCCCCCAAAAAAGCATATGTTGGGCTGACAAACTGCTCTCCCACACCCCCATGGATGTTTCACTAAGTTACACCAATGGTGGCTCAGATGATTAGGTCATTTCTGCTTCTCTGCTAAGCTTCCAGAACAAATTACAACACTGCAGACCTTGAACATAATTTTGTAGATAATATTATTTATTCCTTTCTTCATCACATTTGCACTCTGGAAAATTAAAATGCATTATCAAGAAGCTTAAAGTCTACTAGGGAATACAGTCGTGCAAAAATCAGATATTTGAGGCATTTTTTCTTTATTAATGAAGTTAGTTTTCTCCCAGTTCTTGGGAAATCTGAAACAGGACATGTCAAGAGTAGAAAAGGAGAGTGGAGAATGAAAGTTGATTCTGTTTTTCTAACTGCAAATATCCCTTTCAAAGAAATAACAATTGAATGCAATGCGGGGGACATCTGTAATACTTTCAATAATAAAAAAAGAAAAAGAAAAACACATTAAAAGCTGGAAAAACATTAAATAAATAAATGCAATGTGAGATCTCAAATAAAATTCTGAAAAGGATAAAAGACATTAGTGGGAAAACTAATGAAATTCAAATAAGGTTTTTAAGAGTAGTATATCAATGCTGATTTTTTAGTGCTATGATTATGCAATATGTTAACATTGGGGAAAACTGGATGAGGGCTATACGGAAACTCTCTGCACTATTTTTACAACTTTTACATAGTCTAAAAATATTTTAAGATAAAATACTTTTAAATGACCCAAATGTTGTCCTTTGAGTTTCTTTCCCATGAGCTAGAGAAATGGCAGTGAGGGAGTCATCCTCAGAGCAGCTACTCTTCTAACCCGAGGAAAGAAGAAAATATTGTCACTTTATCAAACATAGCAAAGGGCATGTATTTCAATTCTCTACAATTGCTTCATGAATGAAAATTGCAAAAAGAAAAAGATAAAAACTATGTACAACTGGTTATTTTTTAAAAATGTCCTTGTCTCCACCTGTTGCTCGTGGGAGTGGGATTCTTGCGATATCCTAAGAAAAAGAATCACACAACAGAATGAGTGTGGAATTACATCCCTGGGTTTCCAAGGTCCAATTTCCCCTTGTCCTGCCTAGGAAGAAGTGTATCTGTGGCTTCAATATGGCTAGAATCAGAGTCACTGTCCAGAATTTCCGTTCCATGACTGCACAATCCAATTCAGCACTGGGCTAGCTTAGTGTGTGTTCCCCAGTGTAGTCCATTAGTCTATTGCATGTGGGATCCACAGGGACACTTGGCTATGGAGGAAACATGGGAGAATGCAGGGAAGCAGGAATGAGAGAGTCCCATGAGCCAGGACTCCCAAGATGGTGAGCTCCTTTGTTTAGGGGATTATGTATTCCCAAATTTTCATGGTCTTGCATTGGCCATGGCCATTCTGGCCAACCACCTCTGTCTCCAGGTTTGACTGACAAGTATTTTCCCTATGTCACCCCAACTTTACTGGACATGCATCTATCTCCCCTTTGTGGGACCCTCTTCCCCCAGTGTTCTGCAGGAAATGGGCTGGAGTTTCCCCGGGGAGTGTGAAATTGCAGCTTCCCAGTGAAACTGCCCAAATATCCATGTTTACAAGGTCTGGCCTTTGCTCTTTTCCTATTGTTGATAACTAGCTAATTACAATGTTACCAAAAGTACTGGTGGTGTTTCCTCCTCAGCCAGAGCAACCAGAATATAATTTTTCTGAAGAATTCTGGTAAAGGAAAAGTATTGCCTCTCCTCCATCCTCAAATCTCAGTGCAGTGACACTTGTGGGAGCTGTTGTCTTTCATGTGTAACGTGTGCATTTTAATGTCGAAACATTCCTTCTTTGAATAATGCAATAGCATCAATGCCACAAAACACACAGCAGCCACGGGCCTCTGTTGGCTCATGATAACCACAAATGTGTTCCCAAACAGCATCAACAGGAAAAACAGTGCTAGAAGAAGTGCTCTCCTCGCTCCCACCCTTCCACTAGAACTTCCTTTATTTCCTCACATCCCTCCCCATATTGGGCTCACTACCTGACCACCCATACACTACCAAGAAACCCTGGCAAGAAAGATATCATAGGTGAACTACTTAGAAGAAAGGCTTTCTGTAAGTATAAAGAACACATTTTTAAAAATAACTAGCAGTCTTGCCCAGCCAGTGTGGTTCAGAGGTTGAGCGTCAACCCATGCACCAGGAGGTCTCTGGTTCGATTCCTGGTCAGGGCACATGCCCAGGTTGTGGGCCAAATCCCCAGTGGGGGGCATGCAGAGGGTGGGGGGCCGGCCAATCAATGTTCTCTCTCATTGATGTTTCTCTCTCTCCCTCTCTCTTCTTCTTTCTCTGGATTCAATAAAGAAAAAAAAAGTTGCCCTGGCCGGTTTGGCTGAGCGGACCAGAGAGTCCCGGGTTCGGTTCCAGTTAGGGGCACGTACCAAAAATAAAAAATAAATTAATTAAAAAAAATTTTTTTTAAAGTTGTCTTTTTTGTTTTGTTTTGTTTGGAATTTGTGGGGGTTTTACTGCTGTTTTCTGAACTGTCATAGAACCATTTCAGCTCTGTCTCTGTTAGTAAGGACGACAGTGCTTCTTTTTTTTTTAATAAAAAACATTTTTTATTTATATTATTCAGTGTTTTTTACTTTTTTTAATTAATTTTTCGGTTACAGATGATTCTCTTTTTCTCCCATTGACTCCCTCCTCCTTATCCCCTCCCACTTCATCCTCAACTTTGTTGTCCCTGTCCATCGGTTATGCATACATGCATATAATTCTGTGGGTTATACCTTTCTTCCCCCCCTTCTGAGGAATGTCAGTCTGTACCTTACTTCTATGTCTCTGGGTCTATTTTGTTCATCAGTTTGTTTAGTTCATTATATTCCAGAGATAAATGAGATCATGTAATATTTGCCTTTCTTTGTTTGGCTTGTTTTGCTTAACTTAATACTCTCCAGATTCTTCCATGTCATCTCAAAGGGTAAGAGATCCTGCCTTTTTACAGCTGCATAGTGTTCCATTGTGTATATGTACCACAGCTTTTTTATCCACTCATCTACTGATGGGCACTTGGGCTGTTTCCAGATCTTAGCTATTGGAAATAGTGCTGCTATAAAAAATTTAAAAAAAAAAGTTTTTAAATAAAATAACTAGCAGTCTTTTCAACTGAGAATGTGCCACGGGGTCCATGAATCCTCAATTCCCTCAGTCCTAAACCTTGTCTCTTCAGCTCACTTCACTCATGTTTCTGTGCTCCACACAGGTGCACATTCAGAACGCAACCCTGGCTGGAGGAGTTGCTGTGGGCACTTGTGCAGACATGGCCATTCACCCTTACATTTCTATGATCATTGGGAGCATTGCAGGAATGGTGTCTGTGCTTGGATTTAAGTTTGTGACTGTAAGTATGAGAGATGCTGAGTCAAACTTTGAATGTGCACCATCACCATCTCACATCCCACCAGCAGAAAAAAAGCTATGAAAATGCCTTTCATAGGCACCTCTCCTTGTTTGGGGGTCATTTGCCTCCCAGTCAAAGGTACCACTCACATTCCAGTTTCCAATGTTGATGCTCTTTCTTGATTTTTTTTTTTTTTTTTTTGGTAGCAGGAAAGAATCTGATATCAGTTGTTTGTAATTTAGAATGATTAAATGTTAAGTACTGTGTCCTTTTCCTTGAAGCAATTCTATGAAAGCGTTTATTGTTGATGATGTTTGTTATGTGTAATTAAAAGCTCTGTGCTCTTTCAAGGGGATCCGGATAACATCAGTAGGTAAGACGGAGCAGGACTCAAAATCTCTTGCCTCGCATCCATCTACTAAGGATGAAAAAGAACAGTTTTGCCACCAAAGTATTCAGATTCTTTGACTTAAGTGGGCTTTAGATATAGATGGAGCAGTAGACTGTGGATGAAATGTTTCCTGCATGATCTTTTGCTTTAATTATAGAACCTTGTATATCTAACAAATCACAAACCTTATCCTTTTTTACCATTTTAGCCACTTTTTGCTACTAAACTGAGGATCCACGATACATGTGGGGTCCACAGCCTGCATGGTTTACCTGGTGTGATAGGAGGCCTCGCAGGCATTGGGGCAGTAGCCTTGGAGGTGTCTAACAGGTGAGTGAAGGAATGGGTTTTCCTGACTCCCCTCCCACACTCCTATCCAATAATGTTTCTCTCACTCTATGACATCCAGTGATAAGAGAGCTTTTTCTTTAGCAATCCAGGCCCAGTTTGTGAGTATTGTCCTTGTTGAAGAGAAAAGATTTAATGAATGCTTGGGGTTGTTTTTATTTGTTTGTTTGTTAATTTAAATGTATCTGCCATAGACAACTGCAGATAGGGCAATTTAATATTCACAATCAGATTACCGCAGGCTTACTCTTTCACTTGATCCCCACAGAACGGGGTGCATAGGGCATATGTGAGGAGCTGAGCAGTCATTTTCATCTATCCACACCAATGTTAATGAGGAGCATAACATGGAAAGCAGTTGGATCTGGAGAATCAGGAAGACTGGCATATGGTTCTAATTTGACTACTAACTAGTCACGTGGTCTCTGACAAGTCACTCAACCTCTCTGGTGCTGTTTCCTCTTCTGTAAAATGAGGGAATTATACTATGTATTCTCTAAAATCTTAAGTAGACTTAGATTCTTCCCAAAAGGAGCCTTAGTGCTCATTTAAATGGCCAGAGGAAGAAGGACTGTCAATCAAATTCAGGAGAATGGACGTGATGTCATAAGCCATCACTTCTAAGCAACAGGAGGGAAACAATTTGATAGGAGTGTTATCCATGCAGAACAGCTAGGAAGATCACAGAGTGCACATCACTCCGAGAGAAAGTAAGGAGGAAGCCAAATGTTGAATTCTTAAAACCAACGGAAAGCATAAAGAAAAAGTGAATGTGTGTTTGGAAATGCCTCAAAATAACCACTTGCTATAGTTGCGTAATTTGAAAAGAAAAATTTCTTCAATTTTAGCAGATTGAAATGTAACCCTGTTGGATCAAGTAATAATAAATATTTGAAAAATTTGCTTAATCACATTTTCTACTGAATAGAAAGTTTGCTTCTTTCATGTGTATAGCTGACCTATTTTTTCTGTATGTTTAAATGTTTTACTCTTTTTGCAAATTTGGAAGGCAACTCCAGAAATATTTAAATTTTCTTTCAGTTCTCTACAGCACCAAACAGGATGTTAAGATCAACAAATCATCAAACTAGTGTTGGTGAGGGTGTGGAGAAAAGGGGGACTCTAGTGCACTGCTGGTGGGAATGCAGACTGGTGCAGCCACTATGGAAAACAACATGGTGTTACCTCAAAAAATTAAAAAAAATTGAACTTCCATTTGACCCCAGTGATCCCGCTTCTAGGAATATACCCTAAGAAGCCTGAAACACCAGTCAGAAAGAATATATATACCCCCATGTTCATAGCAGCACTATTTACAATAGCTAAAATCTGGAAACAGCCCAAATGTTCATCAGTAGACGAATGGATAAAAAGCTGCGGTATATATACACAATGGAGTACTATGCAGCTGTAAGAAAGAAAGATCTCTTAGCCTTTAAGACGACATGGAGGGACCTTGAAAGTATTGTCCTAAGTGAAACAAGCCAAGCAGAAAAAGACAAATACCACATGATCTCACTTATATATGGAATATAATGAATATAACAGTCTGAGGAATAGGGTAGACCCAGAAACACAGAAGTAGGGTACAGACTGACAACCCTCAGAAGAGGGGGTGGTGGGGGGTGGGAAGAGATTAACCACAGAACTTATATGCATGTATGCATAACCAATGGACATGGACAACAAAGCAGGGGATGGGGCGGGGGGGGAGGGTGTCAATGGGCTAAAAAATGATAAACATCTGTAACAAAAATAAAATTTTAAAAAAAAAAACAAACACTAGAGTGTTTTAATGCAAATCAAGCAGGTACAGATGAACTCGGCTCCTAAGGTTATAGTGTATAAACACTCTGCAAACACTCTAAAGAGGTACTCATTATTAGGAATAGAGGAATTCTTGAACATCTTTTCTAGACCAGTTCCACAGATACAACAAAACAAGCCTCTGGCTTCTGGGTTGGGTCTGACTGGGCTGTAAGATTTGGGGTAGGTTTCATGCTTGAGAGTCTAGTCCTTGGGTCTAGGTTTAGCAAAAACTTTTCAATTTACTCAGGGAGAGTTGAGGTAGGGGAAGTTTGGGGTGGTCCATTCAAGTAGACAAAATTCATGTCCCATGCACCAGATAAAATACTTAGTCTAAGAGCCAAGACTATCAACCCACCTGTGTCTATTCAGAATACTAAAATGCAAATCAGGTTTCTTGGTAAGCATAGGACAATGAGAAGTTGTCCAAATAATTCTGTTCATTTTGTTTAAACAAGTGTTTTCCAGCCTATTTTACCATAGCAGTCTTTTCATCAAATATACTTTTTTTTTTTTTAACCTTCATCTAAAGATATATTTCCATTGATTTTTAGATAGAGTGGGAAGGAGGAAGGGAGGGGAGAGAGAGAGAGAAATATTGATGTGGGAGAGACACATCAGTTGGTTGCCTCCCACATGACCCCAACTGGGGCAGGAAAATCAAACCTTCAACCAAAGTACATGCCCTTGACTGGGAATTGAACCCTCGACTCTTTTGTCCAAGGGCCAACGCTTTAACCGCTGAGCCAAACCGGCCAGGGCCATCAAATGTATCTTTTAATATTTTGTAAAAGATATTGGCAAATTCTGGTAAAATTAATAGTAAATTTACAACAGAAGAAAATCAAACAAATAATTATATATTAAATATTAAACCACTAGTAATCAAAGACATGCCAATGAAAACAAGTTACCAGTTCCTCAGTTATTAAATTGGCAAAGATTAAATGAATAATAATACTGAACGATAGCTATAGTAGAGAAATAGAGATATAAATGATAAAGTTTTGAATTTGGAAAAGCCCTTAAGTGGTTTATTATCTTTTATCAATAACCTAATTTTTAGATAAGTTTCATTTTAGAGAAATTATTGGGCAAGTTCACAATGTTCATAAGAGGATGTATTCTCACCATATTTTTAAAAAATGTAAAACATTAGAAATAATCTAAATATCCAATCTATAGTTGGATAATTACATTTGTACAGTGTAATACTGTGTAGCAACGAAAATTATGATTCATATCTATATGTACTGACATAAAAAGACATTAAGATTTAATGGGAACATTAGTATTATGACATGATTGTATTTTTATATTTTATATTTATACTGATAGGATTTGAGAAAAATTAAATATTTTTCTTATTTTCTTTAGTTAGTGGTTTTGAATATTTTTGCAATGATAATATGTTGCTTCTATACTTTTTATATAGTAGAAAATTTTAACCCTTTAAATAAAGAGAAAAAGAAGAAGAAATCTGAATTTAGTACATTCCCTTGAATGATGAGGAAGAAACACCAACACATTCTCACATTCTGATTGTTTGCTTTCCTGTAATCACTCCTTCAATCTTTCAACCATTGTTAATTGCCTGGTAAGAGTGAGGTGCTATGCTAAGGAGATCCCTACATTCCTAGTGTATCTGTCACTCATGTAACAGCCTTATGTATTTCAACAGCTTATTATTACAGTCTTTCATTTCCAAAATTGTCGCCTACTTTCACTCATTTCATTTTAGGGTAACTACTGCTAAGGTGACATACAGAGACATTTTTTAGTATCTTCAATGAGTTGTTTCTAAAATGAGCTTTTCTGATCTTACTGATTTTTTAATTTCACTATAATTGTTCCTTTCGGGATAGGGTGAGGAGAGATGGAAGCTCCTGTTTCTTTTGTACATTGCTCTATCCTCAGTGCCTAGAAGAGAAGCTGGCATGAGCCAGTGCTCATTGAATGAATCAGATCACCAATCAAAACTCGATACCACATTTTCCGAAAGTACCAAACCCTTTTTTAATTTTATTATTCTGAAAAAATGTGTGGTTTGAGTTTAACTGCTTTCAAGAATTTTAATTTTTACATTGTTCAAGAATTTCCAAGAAAATAAACATATGAAATAAAAGAAAAAGGGTAACAAATGTTTGTTTGCTGGTGTGTAATACTGCACTGTGGCCTGAAGATGGCGGGCATCCACGCCCTCAGGAGATGAAATTTGTTTGCCGGCCTGCTCCTGCAAAAACAAGCTGTCTCTCTAAAACCAATAATAATAATAACGATAATAATAATAATAATGATAATAATAATAATAGAAATATTCTTTTCTTTTGACTTCCTAGGTCAACCCCAGCTATGCAAGCCGCTGCTCTAGGTTCTTCCATCGGAACAGCAGTTGTTGGAGGGCTGATCACAGGTCAGCATAAAAGTAAACAATTCCCTGTACCTCATGCTGTCAGCATAATAGATTATTTAATGAACACATTGACTGGTAAATTTCAAAATGTGTTAAACTTCTGACAGTAATCATGTAAGCTCAAGGGGATAATTTTATAACAGTAATTACTTTAAAGTATTTATTTAATTACTATGCAAACAAGTTTTCCTCTTCAGCATCCTAACATGATTGATTTTCTTCCCACCATCACAGGTCTAATTCTAAAGATACCTATCTGTGGACAGCCACCTGACGAAAACTGCTTTGATGATTCCGTCTTTTGGGAGGTACTGGGCAGTGTTCTAAATAAGGATGTAAACAATGACTCCACTAGTGAAAGTTTTGCTCACCTCCAGCCTAGCTCTGTGTGTGTGTATGTGTGCATTCATGTGATGAAACTGGGGGAACCCGTGTTTAGGGAGAAATTAAGACAATGTGTCCAGACAGATAAAATCAGAAGTTATGGTATTTTCCAAAGCAGATATTAAATGAAGAAAAGACTGAAGCAAGTGCCCTTTCACTCCTCTGAGAGTTATTTTAAAATCTATTCATAAAAATAGCAGGGATCTTGGGCATAAAATGTAATACCATATAGACAAGGAGGCGTACCCTGATGGAACATGGAAGGTTGAAGAATCCAGTTAGTACACAACAAGAGATTCTGTGAATTACAAACCATCAGCCTTTTTTCGTCCTCCAGTTTCTACCTCTTTACTCCCTTGACATTTTCTCCCAAATTATTTCCTGCAAAGCTTAACAGGGAGAGATCCTTGGGTGTGTTCAATGAGATTTTCCAGGAGAACAGGCTGGCAAAGGGGAATGTAGTCAGGGTTGTGGTAAATATTTTTGTTATTTTCTTTTTTCCCCAACTCAAATAATTTTCATACCCAATTATTTCTCAGCATGGATAATAATAACGGAAAATATCTTTGTTTCAGTACCAATCTCTGACAGGCCCAGTGGAAGAAACTATAAAGTGGCCTAATCTTGTTTTCTTTCAAGGTCCCTAGGTGGAGAGAACAGGATGTTCGTTTCCATGAGCATGACGGCCACAACCAGTTGGAACCTGAATTCTAAGTATCGCTCCTCTGCCTCAGCTTCCATTCCCTTGATCTGGAATCAAGTTTACATAAACAAAAAGCATCCAATGAGAATATGGACCAGAGTGGAAGATCCTGTGCCCCAAATGTTCAGTGTAAAAATGTCTTAACATAATCTGGTATTGTATCTTGATGTTCACTGATTGTTTAGTTGAGGGCCCATGATTCATGAAACAAATGGTCAAGACTACTTTTGACCAGTGGGTAGGTACAGGGTGAACATTCAATGTATATTCATGTATATCCCCCATGGAGGTAGGTTTACATAGAATCTACACTTTCTAATCATACCAGTCTCTTAAATGTAGTTACTATGTCTTCAGTCCCAAAGATTGTACAACTGAAGCCAATGAAACAATATTGTATATAAGACTCTATGTAAGACATATGTATTGAGACACTAGCCTTAGTTATCAATGTTTTTACCTAACAAAAAAAGAATACCAAAAAGAAAAAACGACCTACTGTCATCATTTCATCTTAAAGGAAAAAGACATCACAAAAATGGCAGGGACATAGATTCAGAATAAAGGACTATTATTTAAATTAAATAAAATATAGTCTTTATAAAAATCAAGCAAACAAACAAAGAAACATTATACAGTCTGAACATGTGTACTTAAAAAAAAAAAAAAGGCAGTAAGGCAGCTCCATCTACTTGACCCTCTGAGTTGGGATTTACACACCCAGCTACCCCCAGAGAAACATGCACATACCTGCAAACACACACAATGTATTGATTGATCACTGTACCTGTCCATACTACAGGTTCAAGAATATAAAAGAAACATAAAAAATTGTATGTATGCAAAACAATAATCAGATTGTTTTTGGTAGTGTTTTCTTGATTTTAAAAATGGTCAGGTTAGTCACGTCATATCTTGGCTTGAGTATTCTCATGCTTAATTTCTTCTGTATGTTTGCATTTGTGAAAAGAGCACAAATGCTGTCTGACCAGTCTATTTTGTACAAAATTTCAATGGATTAAATGCTATTTAAAAATAAAGCATTAGTGGTTGGCTCTCCTTTCTTTGGTGGCTGGAATTCATTTTAATAACACACGCGCGCGCACACACACACACACTGACACACTCCTCATATTCAGTCTATATTCAATCTAAATAAATTGTTACATTATTATGTATTCATTATAAAAAATTAAGTTAATGTCTCATCAGATAATTTTTAAGGAACTAAATTTTAGAAAAGGTAACTGACAGTCATATAAAATAATTTCTAGAGAAATTTAAACAATTTTTTCTTCTTTCTGAAAGCTTTTAATATTTTTCTTCTATTTCTGGCACCCTGTAATCTTGCCAGGACATGCCTAAGTGTTGCTAAGGAAAACAGCCCTGCCATAATTAATAGAACTTCAATTCTTGAATGCTAGAAATTAAAAATTATAATAGCAAATTATTAAATATTTTATTCCTCTGGATAAATGGTTTATTTATAGATCCTAAATATTTTACTAGACAAATAGATGACTTCTTTTAAATGTAACTCAGTTTCTCTTTCCTATGTACTTTTTGAATTCTCTTGCTTATAAATATAAAGTCCACTGTCCCCTCCCTTGTAGGGCATCACAAAGAATGATTTTTGCTACCAGGATATGTCTAGACACCCCTCTTTCATGTTGATCATAATGCAACATTTGGAGTCTCTTGTATTTACTCAGGTACTTTTTAAAAGCCCCTAATTTTGATGTGCTAAGGAACTGGGTCGTGACGGTCATCAACCTCTGACTTGTAAACACTCCCTCCTACCTTCCTGCAAAGCAGTTCTTATAAACAGTAAAGCTTAATTTTTTTTTTAAATTCAGAGTTAGTAGTCTTTATTTCACAATAGTATACATCCTCTTTTTCTCGATTTCACCTGGAATTTAGTGAAACATTTTCATCTGAAGATTCAAGTCTGCTTCTGCTCAGATAAACTTTCTTCTACTATTTAATGATGTTCTCCTCTTCATCTCTTCATATTTCTCCTTTCAGCATAGCATCCCTGTTATTCACACAGAAAGTCAACTGGATCTGTTATCCAAATCAATTATCTTCTCCATCTTTATTTCAGATTCTCTGTTCTTTCTATTGATGTACTGATTTTTTTTTCAAAATTGTGGTCTATTTCTATAGATCCAACAAATTTTCTTTTTTGTATCTGTGTGTGGGCATGCATGTCTGTGTGTGCTACGCTTGAATCTCCTTGTTTTTATGATTTTTCATATTGAGGAGCAGGGTGTTCTTTTTGCTCAAGTTCAAGGTCACAACCTAACCCAGCTTGTCAACACTTAATGTTGTTGTGGCAGTGGCAGAAATGTGGTCAGTGGGAAGAGACAGACTGCAGGCACTCAGAGGATTAAAAAAGGACTGTTTAATGCCCACCGGTGCTGTCTCAGCAAAGTCACCTCCAAAGGCCCCATGCCTGGCTTCCAGCTGCCTTTTATACATGATAAGCCACTGACTACTTGGGGGGTTTCAAGCTCCACTGTATTTTAGACAGTTGGCAGTTGCAATGGGATTATAAAAGCCTGGGGTGGGGTCTCTGTCTAAGGGGGCTGTCTGCACCTGGTTTGCCTTCTCAATATTATTTATACCTTATATGTTAAACATGCACACACACACACACACTTAAGATGGTAAATAATATTATTTATATTAATTAGATAATTTTCAGAATCTACTTATTTGATCTAACCAATGAGCAATATGGGCTAGGGTGACAATAACTTTTTATTTTTTATTCAATTATGTGTTGATTCACTTTGCCTCCTCCCTCCTCCCTAACCTATCACTGATGAATTTCATGTGACTCCCTTGTTCTCCTCCTTTGATTGTAATGTATAAAATAAGGTGCAAGCCCTGGCCAGTTTGGCTCAGTGGTTAGAGCGTCAGCCCATGGATCAGAGAGTCCTGGGTTTGGTTCCTGTTCAGGGCACATACCTCATATGCAGTTTGTTCCTGGCCCCGGTTGGGGTTGTGTGGGTGGCAGCCAATCAATGTGCCTTTCTCACATTGATGTTTCTCTCTCTCTCTCTCTCTCTCTCTCTCTCTCTCTCTCTCTCTCTTCCTCCCTCTCTTCTTCCCATTCTATCTGAAGATAAATGCAAAAAAAATGTCCTCTGCTGAGGATTAAAAAAAAAAGAAGGTGCAAAACTGCCATTCTCAGGAATATTATATTATCTCAATTCCCCCTCAGTTTGGCTCAAATAAACTCACAAAAACCCTCTACAGACTTGGACTGTACTTACAGTACAGTGCTATTGAAAGTGCTATTAATTAAAATAGTAATTTCTATATTGGCTGTATTAGAAAGAGTATAAAGACAAGTTGCTAAAACTATTAACAAAAAGAAAACCTAAATGTCAAAGTAAGAAACATTCAAACCTGTGAAAAATTTTGAGTTTATTTGAGCCAAACTGTCAACAAATGCCAGGAAGCAAAACCTCAAGGGATTGAGACAATGCTCCAGAGAAGGGCAGTTTGCACATTATTTTATACATTACAGTCAAAAGAGAAGATGTAAGTGGGTTACATGAAATCTGTTGGTGACAGATTAAGGAGATGGGAGAAACCCCTGGGATTGGATGAAAAGTAAAATGATAAAAACATGCTTCTTTTGTACAGAATAGTTAGCAGTCAACATTAACATGATAATAGCATTAAGGGGATCTGGGGTCTCCACCCTAGTGCATAGGTTGTGCCTAGAGGGGTCTGAAAAAAGGGAAGTTACCCCACATTCCAAAGGCACGTTATCTTAGATGCAAAAAGGCAATAGGCTTCATTAAGGTGGAAATTGACCTGTCAGGGAAGATACAGGCCTAGGACATGACTACCTGCCATAAACCACTTTTAGTTAATAAGTTTTCTTTTCAGTCCGGCCGATGTGGCTCAGTGGTTGAGCATCAACCCATGCACCAAGAGTCTGCCGGTTCAATTCCCAGTCAGGACACATGCCCAGGTTGTGGGCCCAATCCCTAGTGGGGGGCATGCAGGAGGTGGCCAATCGGTGTTCTCTCTCTCTCTCTCTCTCCCTTCCTCTCTCTAAAATTAATAAAGGAAAAAAAATTTTTTAAAAAAGAAGTTTTCATTTCAGACCATTCTCTGTTGTTACTTTAGGTCTTTTGAGTTTGCAAGGCTGACACACAGGCCTTTCCTGAGCTTGTCAGGTTAGCATGTGGCCCCTTTTCATCCACAAAAAAAATTCCCTTTGCATTAGGTATAAACCAGACAATAATAAAGACTGGATAATGCACAACATACTCTAGAAAGACTCTTCATTCAGAGTGTTTGTCAGTGTTATTTAAAGAACCTGAAGCTGAACATTTTAGGTAATGTACTTTTAGTGTAGTTTATGCCAAAAAGGAGATAGGACATTTTTATATCAGCAGACTCGAAGAAAACCCCAAGGCCTTACAACAAAAAGTTGGTGAATAAATTCGTGCGTATGGATTTTTATTCTCTAATGCCTTTTTCTAGTTCTAAATAAGCTTTTTTTTTTTTTTTAAATAACATGCCAATTATTAGATAACAGAGATTTGACGATGTTGAATTTTATCTCAACTCTGTGCTCCAGGAAAGAGCAAAATTTCAAAGAATTCACCTTTTATGTTTCAGATAACGTTTACTGAAAAAAACAACCCTTCTCCATATGATAAAACTCACAAAAGCCCTGACTTTACCTATGATGAAGTCAGGCACAAATTCTCCAAATTCCCATTGAAGGGAGGCAAAGTTTGTCACCTCAAAACATGCTTTTGGAGGATATTGATTAAGCTGGTGATTTTTAAGAAACAAAAGAGACAAGAAGAGTCTTTTATCTCCTCCTCCCACCCTGTGAATTCAGATAGAAAAACCTGCTCCAGAAAGGGAGATCACCTTAGCAAAAGTGTAGCCGACTGGAAGGAACCAAGCAAAGTCTGTTTGTTAGACTCCCTTCTGTCTCCCCTTGTTTCTGGGTGGCCCAGCAAGAATTTGTTTGCCAGATGTTTGCTCCTGCTCATCTACCTATGAATTGCCTACCTTCCCTTTGAAGTCCAGACCACTCCGCACTCTTTCTCCTTAGCTCACGACAGGAGTTAAGCCTCAATTTCAGAACTTGTCCTTAGGTCTCATATTCTTAAGGAACCCTTGTATGTAGACACAGTAAATTTGGTTTTCTCTCCATTAATCTGTCTCATGTCAATTTGTTTATCACATCAGCCAGGAGAACTAAGAGGAAAAGCACAAGGAGAGGCTGGCCTCAGGGTGAAATATTCTCTGAGCTCCTGCCCCATCAAGTCGCCCTGTCATCCTCTTGCACACACCCTATTCTTTCCGCTCTTGCTCACTCCTTTCTATACTCTCAAGATACTTGCAGAGCCCTGGCCAGTTTAGCTCAGTGGTTGGAGGATCGACATGCGGTCCAGAGAGACCCGGGGTTCGGTTCCCGCTCAGGGCATGTACCTCGGTTGTGGTTTGTCCCTGGCCCTGGTTGGGGTCGTGTGGGTGGCAACCACTCAGTGTGTCTCTCTCACATCGATGCTTCTCTCTCCCCACCCCTCCTACTCTTTCAGAAGATAAAATGCAAGAATGCCCTGGGGTTAGGGTTAAAAAAAAAAAAAGGATACTTACAGACTTTATTATGATCACAATTTTCTCATTATCACAATACTCCCTTTCTTTGCAAGAATCTTTCTGAATTAAGTCTCTGTGTACTAAATCTGGATTACTTTCTTTTTTTTTGACAAATTCTGTTGAATGTTGAGATCACAGATTTTTGGATTACATTTATATAATTAAAATTAGGTTAAAATGCACACTAAGAATACACATATGAAGAAAAATAAGGTTAAGTTTGTTAAATTCATGAAACAAGGAGGCCGTTAGAACAAGGTGGATCTAATGCCATGAGGTCTATGTCAGTAAACCAAAAGCCTGTAAATCCAAGCCTGCGAATGCCTCAAGGTTACAAAACCAAAATATCA